TGGCAAAGACTGCACATAATCGGAACATGAATCTGTCTAATACGCAGCGCATCAGCAGTTTTTAAACCCCCCATTAAAGCCAGCCAAACAAAGACCGAATGCTTAAGAACACACCTTTTATGCCAAACAAATTTATACCAATTGCAAACCGGCAAATCAGAATAGTATTCATTTAAGTAATGCTTGAAAATGGCATTGCTTTTGTCTTTACAAAGCAGACAAATGCCAGCACATTTGTCTAAGACATTGCAGCTATAAAATGCCTGCCAACAGCCGGTGACGCCAAGGGATCAGGGTCTCATAAGATTACCAGAAACAATAATCAAACAGACTACAGTCAAGGAATGTAAGTCATTGGAAAGCATCCCCCAAGAACTCAGCATAGTAAACACCATGAACACCAATGATCCATTTCAGAGATGGGGAGTTAGGGTGATCTTAAAATTGAAGAAGGAGGCTTTAGCGAATCCATACAGATTTAGGTGATGCTCTCCAAATTTAGAAAGCATTAAGCTTGGACCGGTTTCCAGGGAGAAATGTACTTATGAAGAAACATGAGGATAAAGGATGAGCAATGTACATCCTAGGAAAATAAACCTGAACAGTTTAAAAGCATGCTGCAGAGCCGCAATTAAAGGGATCCCCAACCCCCTTAACCTGGGCAAGCCAAAATTTTATGCCCAAGAAACCATGTGCAGTTTCTTGGAGGGAAGAAGAGTCCCCAAAAAATAGAAAACCTAGCACAATGCTTTTTATAGAATTATAAACATATTTTAGGCATAAATAAGCACCCCGAATCCAATACGCAATAGTATTCTTGAATTGTAAAATTTCAAGTATTGTAATCTCCCAGCAAAAGAACAACAGATTAGGCTTTTCCAACCATTTCAACTTCCTGTTATTTGCTATCCATAAGGGGTAAATATTCATCCATTTTAAGCCTGTAAAATGATAGAGGAATTAACCAAGTAGGATATCTTGTTAACAATGGTATGCAATATTCAATCAGTTACATATATCTTGTTGATTTTTCTGGTTGCTTTGGGAACATGATAGAGCATTTATCTCGGTTGAGTATAAAAGGCCCGAAGAGAATTGCAAAATCCAAAAGAACAGAGTCCAGGATCCGACAATTGTCTAAGCTGGCTCCCCAAAGATCAAAATATCGTCAGCATTACAGTAAATAGTGAGAGGAAATCATTTGAGCAATGCCTTAAAACCTCTTCCCTCAAGTAAATTAGAAAAAGCATCCATGACAAAGGCAGAAAAGATAGGGACTAAGAGGACACCCCTGCCTCACACCCGCCGAAGAGGAGAAATAACCTTCAAGAAGCCACCGTGAGAACAATTGAATAGTTCACCCCGAAATGCAAGCTCTGATTCCATGAGTGAACTCCTTAGGGAAGCCTTTTTGATTACAGTCGTAGCCGAGTAAAAAAACTCAATGAGAATTACAGAAATCAAAGGCCTTTTTATATCTAATTTTGCACAAAAGATTATAGGCCGACCTCTTTTCCCCGCATAGTATAAATGTCACTAGCCCAGCCCAAAATATTGTCCGTAGAAACTCTGGATTTCACAAAACCCGCTTGATTATTTTTAACAATTAAACACATAACAGGCTTCAATCTTTCAGCCATCACTTTAGCTATAATTTTGTACAGGACATTACATAGGGCAATTGGCCTAAAATCATTGATGTTTGCCGCATCCTTATTTTTTGGAATGATGGCAAGCGCAGTGGCCTTAATTCCGTTAGGAAGGAAACCTTTAAGAAAAAAGGATTTGATAGCCTTACAAACCAAAGGCCCAATGATATGCCAGCTAGACTTGTAGAAATGAAAATTGAACCCATCAGGCCCCGGAGCAGCCATAGATTTTCCCATGAAAACAACCGATTTGATATCTTCATCAGTGACAGGGCTAATAATAGAGCTAGCATAATCAGCAGGTAAAACGGAACCCATAGGAAAAATGCCCAGGTTCATACACGGCGGGGGAGAAGGATTGTAAAGCTCTTGGAAGTAATGGATGATGGAGGAAACAAGCTCTGATCTGGAAGAGTTGGGGTTAGAGGCTGTCACATTAATAATAACGTTCGAACAAGCTTTTCTTCTCCTGATTTTAGAATAGAGAAATTTGAGATCATCTTCACCGTTTTTAATCCAATTCACCTTAGCCCTTTGAATAATCCAAGAAGCTTGCATGGAAATAAAATTGCCCAACTCAACATTAATATCCTTAAAAGCCTGATTGTTAAGAATATTAATGTGGTCCACATGCAGATTATTCAGCAAATCCCTCTGTCTAGAATGAAGCAAGTCAATATGGGAGTCAACAGAGGAGGAAGAAGCCCAACTTTCCTTTTTAATACCTCTTTTAAGCATTTTCAGAAAATTGCAGAAATGTATAAGAGGATTTCCTGAACAGGGAGAGCTGATGAAGTCAAGAAGGAGAATCCAATATTTGTCAATACATGTCCAGTAATTTTTAAATAAGAACCTGTGCTGAACCTTAAAATTTCTTCCAGAATGAAGAATGATCGGGCTGTGATCTGAGCAGGATGGACTTTGATAAGAGCAATAGGAATCAGAGAAAGAATTCAACCAGCTATCATTCACTAACGCTCTATCAAGTTTGATGTGTATGGGATTGTCAAGACGTTGGTTGAACCACGAATATTTGCAGCCAATAGAAGGCAAGTCCATTAGCTTATTGAAGAAGATCATATTATTGAAATCAGCAAGAGAAGATTGTGAGATAGGAGTCCCCCCCAGCTTATCAGAGGTATATCTGCAGCAATTAAAGTCGCCCATGACAACCCAAGGAAAGCTCTCATCAGGAGCAGCATTAGCAATATCAGCCCATAATAATTTTCGATCATGAGTGCTATTAGCAGCATAAATAACGGATAGCTCAAGGACAGGGTCATTAGCAACAGTGATAGTACCAGAGATCATCTGAGAAGAGATGATATTAGAAATAAAATTCATCTTGGAAGCATTCCACTTAACCCATATTCTCCCAAAAATGGAGAGGGAGAAATTGTGACAGCTGCCTTCATTAGCAAAGAGACTGTGAGAGGAGTCAAAGAAAGGATCAAGTAAAGAAGCCACATTGATCCTATTCTCTAAAATGCAAATCAAATCAAGATTAAAAGATTGGATGAGACGTTTACAGCAAAGAACCTTATCAGGGCGGTTAAACCCCCTGATATTCCACGCCGCAATGGGTGGAAAAGACATTAAGAATTTGAGTGAGGCTGGGGTTTTTTGACCTGCTTCCCCTTAGCAGATTTTTTCGAAACAGCACTGGAATTTTGCACTTTACTCTTCTGAGTAGCTTTACTGTTTTTGGACTTAACCTCCTCAAAATCTTCATATTGTCGGTCACAGATAGGATCCAAAATAGGTTCCATATGAGAACAAGATTCCTCCTCAACGTTTAAGGCATCAAACTTATTGGGAGAAATGATTTCTTGCTGAAGAGAAGAGGGTTTGACAAGCAGGAGGCTAGAGGAAGAAGAAGCTTCCTCATTTGGAGAATTAAGATTGGGAATATCATTCACCACATGGTTTTCAGCTATCTGAATTCTTTGGGATTTCGGAAGACCAGAGGGGGAAGATGAAGGGGAATGAGGCTGATACAGCAAAGGGATCCCCTGAGCATTAGGGATCATAATGGAGGCAGCCGGAGTATCCTTGGGAGGTTCATTATTTTCAGTAATAACAGCTTCATCTTCTGGGATGTTCGGCTTAGCAACAGAGTAAACAGGAGGCCTAGAAACTCTATTACTAGTAGAAAAAGACCGATTCCGAGGTTTCCTGCTATTGCTTCTACCCCGGAAATTAGTAACCTTCTTGTCTTTATCATTGGTTTCCTTATCAGGCTGAGAGGGACAAGATGAAGAGTAATGCATTAAGGACTTACAGTGCTCACAGGGGGTTGGTCTCCATTCGTATTGAACTTTCAGGCAAACAACATCACCATCCAGCGACACCTTGATCTCTTCAGGATATACAGCATCTCGATCAACAAGAACACAGATGCGAGCAAAAGTAAGACGAGCCTTTTGTTCCGTCAGACTGTCAGCTGCAAGCGGATGCCTATTTTGCTCGCAACCCGCGACATATCCTCAGAATTCCAGCAAGCTAGCGGCAAGTTGTGAATTTTCACCCAGATAGGGACAGAGGAGAAGTCCTCCTTCTTAGGGGTAAATTTCGGGTGCCATTTCTGAAGCACAAAAGGTTTCCCTAACATGAACCATACACCTCTCGACCATACCATGTCGAAATCTTCGCTACAAGAGAATCTCAGGAGAAAAAAACCATCGCTCAGGGAGAGAAGCTGAACTGACCCTTTTAAGCTCCAAGTTTTTTTGATGGCTCCCAAGAGTGCTTCATAAAAGGGACGACGCCCGATAGAATAACCAACCAAGCAAAGCTTCCAATCCTCCCCACCTTGGAGAAGCTTGTCACCCGAAAAAGGAATCACATCGGGCTCTTCCAGGAAATGAGAAAATTTGATGGCATTCGAAGTGGAGTTGCCAGACACAAATACTTGAGACCAATCTTTCGGAGTAGAACGCGCCCCGATCCCAGCAGACGAGGCAAGCGGAGGAAAATCTGAGGGAAGAAGAGAAGGATCCATGCACACTAAAAAAGCGAAGAGGAGAGCAGGCCTCCGGCAGCGCCGGAGGGAGGAGGCGATTGAAGAAGGATCAGCAGCGCGTAAAGGAGCAGAGAAACCCTAGCGCACTGTTAACTTTCTTCATTTAGCCATGGTAACTTATCTGTATTTTTTTTTTCAAGACGCCATTGACTTCTTTTGTCTGGAACACTTCTATCATTACAAACCACTTTATTGATAATTTTTCATTTAGGTTTTATTGTGATAACTTGATTATTGCTTTCTTAAACACTTTTTAATACAAAAATATTATTACTTCCTACCACTTAAAAAAAAAAACTAAAGGACAGTTTTTTATGGTGGAGTTGCAGGTGATGGTGAGGTTGATGCAGATGAATTTATTTGGATGATGAAAAGAACAAATTATGGGCATTAACTTATGTAATTATTGAAATTATATACCTTGTAATAATGCTATGATATCATTATCGCCTCTCTGAATATTATAAATTAGGCATTTCCCCTATTGTATGTATAATTAACTAACTGGTTCTTTATTGATAGCTTGAGTTGCTTCAGATAACTTGTTTTGCCTGAGGTTTTTTTGTTTGGTTTTATTATCTAATCTATTTCATTCATGTTTTATTTTCTTCTTGCTTGGAATGTTCTTTAAACCAGGGAAGTGGTTGTAAAGTAAATAAAACTGAAGTTTTTGTTGCTAATTTGTCAGTTTTAGCTAAGATTTAATTTTTAAATAATTTAATTTTTATATCAATGCTGAAATGATACTATGTTCTGGATTATGCCCAGTTTGTTTGGATCGCAGCTTGTTATAAAGAGAATAGTTGGTGTAAACCTAGTATTAGATGGTTCAGAATATGAAGGCTGAAGTGGAGTTTTTAATTCCTGTTTTTTGAGTTTTGAGAAATTTTAGGTAGAACACTTAAAAATCACGGGAATGATGAAGTAGAAATTCATATGGAATTAGGTACGAAGATACAGAAAATCTAGAAAATTCTAGAGGCTGTTGGCGATTGTATTTTGTTTTTGTTTTTAAAAAATATATTTGAATTGTAATTTGTAGTTGTTTTATTTATTTTATATATAATAATAAGTCAAGTTGATTTTGAAGATGTACAAAATAACTAACAATGCTTTTAATTTTTAAAGATGAAAATTATCCTGATCACCACTTGTCTTTGTGAGCCATCAAGCACTGCCACTGTGTGCTCGTTGTCATCAATTTATTTAATAATACAAAAATATATTATATGCTAAATATTTTTTATATTAAAATATAATTGAAATAAAATACTAAATTAGAATATGATTTAAAATAGCCTATTAATATTAAGAAAATTTTGGTTTTATCTATTTTATAAGGTTTGAAATTGAAGAAGTATTCTAAAGTTTTTTATTTATTGTAGAAATATATAAAAAAAATTTTGTTTGCACCAAAATTCTCATAATTTAAAATTTTGAAGTGGCGCTCTAATTTATATAAGAGATTTTTTGAGCAATAAATTGATCAACACTTTCAATTCTTAATAACTTATACTTTGTGGTTATCATTCATTTGTGATTGTTTTGTGATAAAGCCCCAATACAAGGTTTAGTGATTATTGTTGAATGTTAGTGATGTTGTATATGTACACTTATAATTGTAAATATTGAACACTTAAAAGTTATTTTAGCATTGATTGAAATATATTTGGCACATGAATAAAATTTTTTAAACCTTATTTAAAATGTGTTTGTATTTTATAACCAAGATTGAAATATAGTTGAAGAGGGTTTGGTTAAGGTCGAAAAAGTTTCCATCAATGTTGAAAAATAATTCTAACTTTTAATAAGCTCGATCAAATTTCAATCATATGTTTGATAAAATTTTAACAAAATTCAAATTTTTTGTTTTGCACTTGACTTCTATTTTGGAATGAACATATTTGATTTACCTTGCTATACATGGTGATGCATGATTGAATTACATATAAAGTCGAGGGTGTGATGGAGAAAATTAGTAAGTGTTTTGAGTCATTTAAAGTTAATGATATCATTGTGTTGAATATGAGATGCATACACATAATATTTGAATAAGATGTCAATTATAGATGTGGAAAACAATACACTACTTTTTGAGGATGCACTATTGATTTTAATGAACTCGTTACTAAAGCTTAATAGTCAAAATTCACACTTATAAATTGAAAATTCACCTGTTATTCTTAATGAAAATGTCTTCAATATCGATCAACTTTAGGAGCACATTTTACAGTGATACATATATTAGTATATTTGGACACTTTATTGTTCTTATCTTTGGTTGTGTCCAAGTTTTTATTTGTTAAATTCAAGCTGTTATGATTGTACTCAACATGTTGTTCTAAAATTTGAGAACAAATTTACTTATAATATAAATCTACTTTTTAATATTTTATCTTTTATCATATTTACCTTATAATATATTGTTTTATAGTTGTTGATTTTAATATATATTTTAGTTAATAAGTTTGGATCTTCTTCGAACATTAAAAAATAATTTTGTTAATTTTCTTTTAAAAATCTAATTATATTCATCTTCAAATTATTTGAATACAAAATAAAGAAAAATATAGATTACATTATAATTATTGTTTACTAGAAAATTCATAGTAATAGAGAATTTGTGTTTAACATCGTAGACTTTTATGGTGGTCTAGCATTTTATGGATAAGAAAAGAGTTGTAAGAGACACCAAAGTTTTTATGTAAAAATATGAGAATTAAAAAAAATCATGAAGCATAAAATTGTTGAATTCATTAAACTAGTGTATATTGTTGTTTATAAATGATGTCATTCTCCATAATTGAAAAATATAGTAGACATAGCCGATAAAATATGGATTTCATGGTGGAAGTTGGAAGAACCATGAAGCATTATTGTTATCTTTCAGAGATCATTTATAGTATCTTTGGGTGGTCTACCTTAAGTCCAGAATTTCTTGATGTTGACATCATGAGTCAAAGTTAATGTCGATGGTATCCATCAATCTTATAGGAAATTTCATGTATTGAGCATCATTATTGAGGGTGATGGTAGGAAATAAGTTAGTGGATGTCAGCAAAGTGCATTAGCCTTATAAATAATGACATATATAAAAATTATTAGCAATGGTAGGCGATGAAGTCAGCATGTAGGCATTAGTATTGCATATTAGTCATATAAGCTATTGCGCGCGTCAATGTTATTGATGATAGAAGCACACAAAGTTGGCAAGAATTGGCATTGAAATCAATGGCTTCCATCTATCTTAAAAGTAATGACATGCATCAGTATTGTAGGCGATGGTGGGTGACCTTTGTTTGGTGATGTGATCGGGATACTGTAGTTAAGCGATGGTGGAAGGTAAACCATAATTGGATGATAGGGGTCAAGGGTGCCGTACTGGGTGATGGTGTTCAGTAGACTATAATTAGGAGATAATAGTAAGTAGACCATTATTGGATGACAGTGATGGTTGAGAGACTATAATCTAGTGGTGATAGTTGAGAGACCATTATCAAGTCACAGTGTTTTACGGACTAAAGTCATGCGATGGTGGTCGAGAGATTATGATGGTTAAAAATCATGCATAAGGGATAGTGGTCAGGAGACCTTAATCAAATGCAGTGATTGAGTAACAGTAGTTGTAAGATGGTGGTTGAGAATTATAGTTAGGTGATTGTGATCACATGACTATAGTTGGGTGATGGTCATTGAGTAATGGTGATTTGATGGAGATCAAGAGACAAGGGGTTCAATGGTGATGGTTTGAAAATAGTGATGGTCGGATAGTAATGATTAAATGGTGATGGCCAAATGATGGTTATCGGGCCATAATGGTAGAGTGATGATAGTTTAAGGGCAATGTTTTGGTGATGGTGGTTTAACAAGGCTAAAAATTGTGTTTTAATGGAATTGATAAAGAAATGATAGTTTAATGGTGGTGGTCAAGCAATGATAGTCCAAATACGATGGTCTGATAGTGATGATGTTGGTGGCTTGATGATAGTGGTCAAGTGGTGGTAATCTGATGGTGATTAAGTGGTAGTGTTTTTTTTTTTCATTTTTTGAAAGAGCAAAAAAAATTGCATTATAAACTAGAAAAGAGGAAACACAAAGATAAACAGCATGCTAAATGCAAGTTGCGGATTCCTCCTTCAAAATATTGACAAATGATGGAGGAACCATGTCCAAAAGTAAGTATTCCCACCAAAAAGAAGAAAAAACCCCAAAGTTAGCACAAAGATCCGCTAACTTATTACAATATCTCTTAATGCAATTAAAAAAAAAAAACAAAGTTCAAATCAAAAATAAAGGAAAACTTATCATTACCTCTTCTTCCTTTATTGAGAGCTTTGTGAATGAGCTTGATGACATTTGCATTGTCACTCTCTATAATGATACCTTTGTAATCATATCTCCATTTATTGATAACATCTTGAATGGATGTTATTGCTAGAAGTTCCAGATAAGTAATATCCTAATGAATATGAGGATAGCCGAAAGCTGCAATCAACCGACCTTTGTGACCTCTGACTACTCCTCCTATACCACCTTTATAAGAAGAATATAAAGTCGCATCAACATTTATCTTGATCCAATTGGGTGGAGGAGAGTACCAACGATCTTCTAACATCATAAGCTGATTAGTATTCAACCGGCCCATAGAGGTATAATTGGTAGATTTAGAAGCTCCTACATAAGTAATAGTCTCCACTGCAATGAAAATTGAGCTTCTTTCCTTCTTACCATGAACTAATTCATTTCTCTCTTTCCAAGTGAGATGAATAGCATTACAGTATATATTGGAAATGAAATATTTTGCTTTTCCAACCAATTTAAAGTATCTTCCTTGGATGAAAAAATTGAAATACCAATTCCCCAGTTATTTAGATGATGAATAACATCTATAATTTTCAAACAATTACAAACCACATGATCAATATTCTCCTCTACATTGCAACCTCTTGGGCAGTTCACCGTCCTTCCTATTCTTCTATAGGAAAGAAAAGCAAAAGTAGGCAAAGCATCATTTAATACTCTCCACCAGAAATTTTCAGCACGGGCATTCAACATAGAACTCTTTATCCACTTTCATCTATTAGAAGCAGGGGACTGTTGAACATTATAGTTAGCAACAATAGAGGTAATAGTTTTACCTGATTCCATATGCGTAAGCTGTAACTGATCTACTTCTAGATCATTATTGATTTGAATCATATAAATCAATTTTATAAGTTCCAGTCCAAAGAATTTCTCCAATTGTGTCATATTCCAGTAACCATCTGTTATAAAATTATTCAGAGAACAGAAATATGTCATATCCACCTGAGAATTAACAAACGTCGGCCATCTATTGAGACTTTTATCAAAAATCAAGATGTCCTCCAGAACATTAAGTGATTGGCCATTGGCAATTTCCCACCTCACAATTGGTTTCAGATGTTTGCTCCCGTCTTTAATAACCTTCCATTCCACCGAAACAGATCTGTTTCTGTTTCCAACACTCCAAAAAGAACCTTATTTAGGAAATAATGTTTTATGCAATAGATAATCACCCTC